CGAGCGGAGGGGGAGGCGGGTCCCCCTCGGCAGCCCCGCCGGCAGTCGCACTTTTCCCCTCCCGGCTCTCTTCTCTCGCCGAGAGCTCTCGAGCATCAGTTGCTCTTTTTATTGGTTACAACGCTCCTCATCCTTCCAACTTCGACAGGTGATCAGAGCGTCGTGGCTGTTCTAGGTACTTACCTAGGGTCTAATTGCTTTTATGAAATTGATGAACTTTGTTTGGAATGGCTCACATTGTTATTCTCTGTTTGTGTGTATTCCTTATATCATGGATATCCATGTAGTAGAAATTTCTTACTTGAGTTAGGAGCTGCTATTGCTGTCACTTTAAAATGTCACATTGATCTTTAAATTTGCAAATCTTTACATTGAAAGGTTTTTGTAGGAATTCAGTCCACTGAAAATGTTTGAAGCATATTAATGACTTTTCTTCTGTGAACAAACAGCTACTAGTTCAAAGAAATGTCAATAGAAATTTGATTGAAGATCAGATTTTTTAATAGTTTTATATTTTTAGTACAGTTGCGCTCAAATAAAAAGCAGTTTTAGTCATGCATGAAATTCAGCATTTAATAATCAATTACGTCTCAGGAGTTTTCCCTTATTTTTGGCTTTTAAAAATGTAGCACTTGACAGCTTTTGTTACCGTGTATTAAGTATAACTGGTACTAGAGAGAGGAATAGAGGAATTTATTTTGGCGGTAGAGTGATTAAATTTATGATTTTTAATGTATAAAACTACATCAAAGCATAAACTGTTATTTGAAAATGCCATTATTTTTTGTATTTAATATTTTTCTAGTATTTCAAAGCAAAATAAAGCTGCCTTATGGAACTCTACAGAGATCTAATTTTCTAGAGAAAATAGTTTTGTAGCCATAGAAATACTAATGTAAAGTCAAAATATTTAGATCCCGTTAGCTGAATGTAATATGACCAGATGAGAAAGTACAAAAATAAATTATGGGTAAGAATTAGAGATTTTGCAAAGATTTTGCAAAAGAAATTAGTTGGCTAAATCCTAGTATTTACAGATGGATATTTCCATGTCTGTAATGCTGTGATTCTGTTAATATAATTTTCCTGCAGCAGTCTTACGTTACCGGTAATTGCTATTGATAAACATCAGGTCAAAGAGCAAAATATTTTGTTGGAAAACAAACTGTTTTAGGTAAGACTTTAATTTGCAAAATGACTTTCAATTAAAAGGTTTCATTGTAGCAAAAACTAACTTATTTATGTTGCCTCCCACAATTTCACCTTGCATAGTGTCCTTCAGCTCTGTCACTTGCTCTTATTGGACTTGACATCATGTGTAGTAGTAAGTTTGGCACAAATGTAAGTAAGATTAATGTAAGTTAATGCCACTTAGTACTGTTGAAGAAATCTTCAGCACCAGCCATGTGGAAGTAACTGATCTTTGTTTAAAAAGATTTCTTCTAAAATACAAATATGAACATGAAAAATCACAAAAAATAATGAGGTGTATGTATGGCTTAAATAGGTGTATGTATGGCTCTATGTTCAGCTGTGAAGACGTGTGTATATATGTTTCCATCTTTATGTATGTGCTTACATACCACATGTATATGCTTTTCTGTCAGAAAGAAACATTTGAACAGATATTACATTTTTTTAAAGCTGCCAAAATCAATAGTAGGACTCTTAAATAGGAGCATATCTTAATATATCTTTAAATTGAACCAGATAATGTAACTTTAAAGAATTTCTGAAAAAGAGACATCAATGTGAATTCTATGAAGATGGAAGACAAATATTTATTACTGTTTTCACAAGTTACACATTTTGGTTCAGTGTGTTTGTGTTTGGTTCAGCCTGTTTGTGTTTCATTCATGCTGTTTGTGTTTGGATCATGTTGTTTGGTTGGCTGTTGTTTCTCCATTTTCTGTGGCTGCATACAGGGAATGGTGGTTTTGTCTGCATGGATGCCTGGGTGAAGGAGCCAATGCACAGATCTATGTCAGAACAAATGTGTAAGCACAGATTACTGTGGTCAGGGCTGCTGTTTATGTGAATCAAGGATTTTGCTCAAAGCAGGCACACACATCTGTGTGACAAGTAACTTTCCTAGACTGTGTGACAGATGAATGGTTGCCTTCTTTGTTCCCCCTCTCATGGAATAACATTTGCTTTCTGTTCTTTTTGGATGTCCCTGTAAAATTCAAACTTCTTGTGATGTTTCAGAGCATTATGACAATTGCTGGACAGTGAACAGTGCTAGAGCAGCCGGTGCAAAACCAAACCAAGTCCTGAGGTGACCACCAGCACAATTCAGGCCTGGATATGAGATACTGTGAGCTCTGAACTGAAATGTATCCATACAGTGTATGGCACGTGCAGCTGTATAAGCAGTTGAAATTATGTATTCATAACATTCACAGTTTGATATTCCTCAGTCCTGGATGAAAAATTAAAATAAGCTCCCTTTTTTTCTATAGAAACCCAGTTTTTTCCTTTATCCTACAGAAACCCTGTTTTTTAGGTCTTAGGCCTTGAAAGACTGAAGTGGTGGATAAATGCACTGCTTCAGTAAATAGAACAGCTGTAAGCCAGTGAAGAGTCAGCCCTTCACACAAAAATAAAGTCTTTGAAAGCCAGTAGACTGTGGAGCTGTAGTCATCTCCTCTTTATGCACAGGTGGATTGTCTGATTTATGAGTGACTTGTACAGCCCAGTACCATCCAACAGGATTCATTAGATCAGACACAGTGCCAGACAGAGGCATTCATTCTGTCTTTGGGACCAACCCAACTGGAAAGGAATATTGACATTTTATGCATCATGAGGCCAAATTCCTAGACCCAGTCTGTTTGAACCACCAGGATTGTAGAAAATAAATGTACTTCATCCTTTCCAATGGATGCAGCACGTTATTACTGTTGCTCATTGTTCAGTTTGAAGTATGAAGAGTTCTCCCAGTGCCTGCACTGCATTTCTTGTGGTTGAGCGCTGGAAGAGATGGAACAGAGACCTCAGTAGCCCTGTTGTTCATGTTCTGTCAGATTCAAAACCTCCAGCTGAATCCAAGGAGGCTTCATGTGGAACTGTGCAGAGACTGTTGCATCACACATCCCAACAAGGGAGTATTAACCAGGCTTTCCAGCTGTGTGGGATAGCCCATTCCTTTCCTACCTACCACATTTCTGGCCATGGAAGAGAGTGGAAGTAGAATTAGGGGTTCAGTGTGGAAATCCCAAAAACCATAGGGAAGTTTGGTGCTGGGCTGCCATTTGAGAGCCAGTGGGGTGAGAGTATGTGCATCTGCTGGGACTTGTTCAAATCTCAGTTATTTTCTCATCAAACCAAATATGATGCTCAATCCCAGGCATTTTGTACCTGACATCAGGTAAAGACTGGAAATTGTATCCTTGTGGTGGTCTTAGAGACATGATGTAATGTTCATCTGCTTTGGAGAGGGAGGTCTGCATGTCTGTGTGGCAGCTACCATGCATCAGGGGAGAGGCCACTTCAACTTCCCTATTCTCAGAGAAAATAAGAACAAACTTGAAAGCTTTTCTTTTAGGTTCCACTTCCCAATGGTTCCTGTATGTCACAAGACTTGTTGAAAGCAAATGTGGAGCTTGAGGTATTTGTTAATTTCCAGTCAGGGATTTTAGCTCTGTCTTCTTCATTATTCCCACAGAAGTTTGAGAGATTGTTCATAATAAAAAGATTTGGCAGTTTCATGATTCACTAGGCTGGGTATCCAGCCAAGATATAATGATGGTTCATCAAAAGCTGTCAGCTTACATTGCATGTACTGGGGATTTCTGATGATGGAAGAAAATTTGAAGACCACACAGCCTTAAAATAGTAAGAACCGGAGAGCTGCTCCCTGAAGGTATCAGGATGGTACAATAACAAAGTCATGAGCACCCCATAAACTTGAAGGTGTCTAATTCACAATGAAATTCACTCCATAAGGGCCCAGTTTCTAAAAGCTCAAACTAGACACCAAACTCTACACCCCGAGCTGCCTTCTCATCATTCCAGAACAATCTAGGCAGTGAGCTTCCCTATTTCTGCTCATTTTTAGGTATTTGTCACATTAGAGTTTTGCAGCTACTGTACAGAGAAGTGTGAAGAAAGAAAGCTGGGGTGGCCTGGAATGCCAAGGGAAGACCATTTCCATGCATCAGGCTAGTTCAGTCCCGATTGTATTCCATTCTTCCAGATTCTGTTCATCTCTGCAGTCAGCAAATTCCTCCTTGATGCATAGTTGTATTTCCTTGTACTTCTTGCTAGATGCCTAGCTCAGGTAAGCACATCAGGCAAGTGTGACTGAATCATGCCAGGAGAACAGGGGATTTGTTAGATGAGCAGTACGTCAAGAGCTGTGAGGAACTGAGAGGAGAGGTACTCAAAATATGCCCTAACTTTAGCCCTGGACTGCAAAAAAAAAAAGGTTAAAATTCCAGTCTCCACAGGTTTAATTATTGTTCTCTTATTTACCTCATCAGTGCTAATTGGGCTGTTCTTAAGGCATGGATGTGACATGGCTCACTGGCAGGAAAGGGACCTCTGGATCTGTCACCTTCTTGCTTCTCTGCAGGATCACTGCTGGGATCCAGATTTGTGACCAGTAACAATAGGAAGAGGAAAGAGCATAATCAAAGCTCAGAAATTCGGGGTGTATTGTCTTATGTCCATCTCAAAGATGGACAGGTTGCTAAACCTGAGACTCAGAAATGAGTGTCATATGAGTAGGTTTTTTTTAAATCCAGAGAAATTCTTTCCAAGATAATCCAAGATCTTTGCATACTCTTCTAGGGGTATAATATCTGTTTGAGGGGTAACAAACCAAATCTCCAGATGGCTTTGTTCATCCCAGAAAGGCAGGGAATGGCAACACATAGCTGTATCTCCCAAGTGTTTTTGTACAATTTTCCTCATGTGTGTGGGATTTTCAGCAGTGAAGGTGCAAAGAAATCATTTTGTGCTCAGAAAGACCTGACTTGCAGCCATGCTGAAGCACATAAACTGTCTTGCAGTAGCAGTGAGCTAAAAGAAATTACTTGTTTAGACTTTTCATGCTTTTAAAGGACTTCTCAGCTTGTGACTGAATTTAGGAAACAGGGTTTAGTTTCAGGATTTATTTCATGGGTTCTGGGATTATCTTTTAAAGCAAGAATTCTCCATTCTTTTATTTGA